AAGTTTAACCCTCCCTACCCTAGTCGAAAGGTTTCTTTACCATTTACATACTGTTGTATTTCATGGACTAAATAAGTTTGTATTAGCGCATGAATACCAGAAACACTTGCACTATCCCCAGTCCCACTACCGTGTTGAGATGTAATGCCTACACATATTTTGACGACTCATGACTTCTCCCCAACCAAAAAAAAAAAAGTAAGAAAAATTAGTATAGGAATGCCATCTTTTAATATTTCAAATTTTGACATCGGGGCAAATGCCCCCTTTGCTCCTCGTTTAACACGCTTCCGATTATCTCAATGAGTAATATAATCTCTACGATTATAGTGAACTGTTAAACCAGACCCAATTATYTTACTACGATACACTCCTAAAACCGTAGTACTTGGAAATCATTTCGGATGCGCCGGGTTTTAAATTTCAGCCAAGTTTGCATATAAATCACCCAAATTTGGTTATCGTGTGCTGRGCTGTTATAGACAAATGTTTTGCTACTATGTTCTGTTTTTAAGTTATCGTTTTTAACTCGGTACATAGACACTATAAACAGTAATCGGTGTTGTGCTAACGAAAAGCCTCTAAATTGTTCTCGTGGTTGGTGTTTAATTTAAGGTTTATTTGTATTTGGCATGATATTATCTAAATATGAATATCTATTATAATATCGAAATTAAGGACGATTTTTTTTTCAACTGCAAAGATTGAGAAGAATCTTACGTCTTTCCTATGGTAATTCRTATTAAAATTGGCAAATAGCGAAGGTAAACTCTAACGTAACTAATGCATTTTATTATTTATTTACAGTTGACTTTTTAAAACTAGGATGTTCTGATACTCAGTCGTTCAGATTATAAATATTAAATTAAGATAATGTACAAAAGTAGTTATTACAGACTTGAGAAAGTTGAAAACATTATTTAGATCGTTCATAAAATCATAGACTTAGGTCATGCATAAAAAGTTTTTTTTTTAATTTAAAATATATAATAGGTATATATAAATATTATTTGTAATAAGCGCGATGAAAGGGAATCGGGTACCGAGCAAGTGGACGCACTGTAAATCCCTTGTCTATTGCCATTGGTCGACATCGTTACAGCAGCTGCTGCCATAGCGCTGTTAGGTGGTGGGTGGCCCATTGTCCGTCGTTGTCGTCGTCATCACTGCGTTTACGTATCCAGTATCCACTATCCGCCGCGCCATCAAACAGCGCGCACCCACAAACGCGTGTAATGGCGTCCGACGACAACGGTGATTTCGACACGGATCTATCAGCGGCACCTGCGAAACGTATGCGGTATTCGTTCGCCGATGAGATTGCCCAAAGTTCGCATTTTGAAGCTTTTGGACAGCGATTCACCGGGTTTCCGTCCGGCGAATGTTACGGTAAGTGTGCGCGGAAAACGCGTAAGTCCGACGCTTCGGCTGCCCGTCATCCCGCCAACATGGCGGATTTTTTCCCGTTTGCGTGTTCCCCGACGCGCGTTTTCACCGGGGCGTGCCCCCCGCTCACCCGCCCATCTGTCGCGTTGACGTCATCATTCATTCGTTTTCTTTTCCACGGTAAAATTACATGACCTACGTCATCACGCTGCTTTTCCAAGTTCCTCGCGACAGATAATATTGATAATAATAACATTATCTATCAATGGTCATTGCCGATAATCGACTTCATCATGCCGTATGATAACCACCGGGTTATCTTTATTCTGCGTCGTAGTCCGCGAAACTTGATCAATTACTAATAAATAATAATTAAGATTTTCGTATTGTGTATTGACGTATTGTTGTATCTAGTCGATTAATAAATTTATTTTCATAGCACTATGRWAACCTCAGATTAAGAGTTGTTTTATTGTCGCGCTTTCATTAAAGCAGATTTATGTGTCTTGAAGATTAATTATTGATTTATATTTAATTGCACTTCAAATAATTCTTAGTTTATTGTTTTCAACAATCCATTCGTTCATTCATTAACCACATACCTATGTCTTTTTCATTCAACACAAAGTGAAATTATTTACTTTATCACTTTTTTAAAATGTATTTATCAGTGTTTTATTTTCATTACTCTTAATTAATTATTTGACTATCRTGTTTCTCTAGATATTATTTAAACAACAAGGAATTTACTTCAAATAGTGTGGCTTCCTCCCTTAAACCTTCTAGTTTAGGTATGATCAATTTGTATTAATGGATTATGATCTACTATGGATTTAATTTTAAATTATTTATAGTATTATGATAAGTGCTCATTTTATTTTTATTAAATAAATGTTGGTTATTTTTCAAAAATATTTTCTTATTGAAAACCAATTCCACCAATGAACACAAAAATAGCAAGCTATTAAATAACAAATAAATTATATTATAATTAAATATTAATTTATGATTTTAGCCAACAATTTGTACCAGCAATCATACAAATCTTTGGATACTCTATCGCCAAATTATTTACAACCAAATTCACCAACCCCTCCATTAACAATGTCATCAAGTTTACCAGAATCTCCAGAAGATTCGAGGTAAATATTTATACATTTTMAAGTATAAAAAATGTTCATAACATAATTTTATGTTACTTACAGTATATTTGACGAAAGTTCTGATACTAAGGAAGAACCTGAGGACGATGATTCATCTTCCACGTCTAGTTCAGATTCCAGCACACATTCTGAGAATGCAGATTCTGAAAAAGGAGTACCTGGTAATAAAAATATTACAATTTTTAAATTTAATTTAATAACATAAATTTAAATCTAGGTTCAATGAATTGGGTTCAGCGACAAATTATGGGTGGTATTAATCCAAGACGTTTGTTACATCAAGTGTTTGGTGCTTCTGTTCCATCTCAGTTAGAAGATATAACATTATGGAGAGTAAGTAACTTTAAATCTTTGATTAATTTTATATAAAAAAAAATGATAATTTTTCTAAYAGATAATCATGAGTATGACAGATGATTCTCCAATACGAAATCGTCTACGTAGTGTTAGTTCACTAGATGATGTAGTTAGATTATTGAAAACAAGCAATCGCATTATGGTTCTTACTGGTGCAGGTGTAAGTAATTTTAAATTTATGATGATTAAGATYAATTACCTAACAAACATGAGAATTTAAAATAATCATTGAATTATTGTATATTTTTCTAGGTCTCTGTTTCTTGTGGAATACCGGATTTTCGAAGTCACAATGGAGTTTATGCTAGACTAGCAACAGAATTTCCGGACTTACCTGATCCCCAATCTATGTTTTGTATAGATTATTTCAGTAAAGACCCTAGGCCATTCTTTAAATTTGCTAGAGAAATCTATCCAGGACAATTTAAGCCATCACCATCCCACCAGTATGTAGTTTTAATTATTGCCTGTGGATAGAGTCCYGGAAAAATCGGGATTGTTGATAACAATCTTATCAGTCCCGGACAATTATTTATCATATTKMKCATGCGTGGGGACTTGAACAATTTACAAAAACAGTGTACAATAATTACCGTACTGCCGGGACCGTAATTTACCACTACTACTAGTCCCGTACACTTTAAATTTTTTTATTGGTTTCGCGTATTCCTTGATCCTTTAATAGCTAGTAGCTACCCATCTAAACAATTTTTAAAATATTATTACGCTATAATTAAAATCAAATAACCAAGYTTATATATTTTGTAAATAAATATAAAAACATTGTAAATAAATTACATAATTATGGATTTTCCTAATAGTAAATATGTATAGTAGATTTAAAGATCAGGTCATAMACTTATACCATAGTTGACGTTTTAGAAGTATTTATAATTTAAATGAATGGAGTGGAATGGTACGGGGTTACCCCATGAAATTTGACTGGCCTAAATTGAGACTGGCCCTAGTTACCTAATTAAAGTTAAATAAAGTGTAATAATATGCTAAACTAATAATTTGTGAATGAAGTTGGTTATTTGATTTTAATTATAGTGTAATAATATTTCCATCAGTTGTGATTATTGTTTGACTTGGTATCACCCCAAGTGTGTAAATTAAACCAGCATACCAAAAAAAAAGCTGGTATTGTCAATATTGCTGATKAATATAATGATTTATAAGCAATAATAATATGCTTAATTAATAATTATTGTGAATTTTTGTGAAACCAACATGATGTAATTTATTTACAATGTTTTTATATTTATTTACAAAAAATATAAACTTGGTTATTCGATTTTAATTATAGTTTTAATTATATTTAAAAAATTTTTAGACGGGTAGCTACTAGCTATTAAAGGATCAAGGAATACACGAAACCAATAAAAAAATGTAAAGTGTACGGGACTAGTAGTAGTGGTAAATTACGGTCCCGGCATTACGGTAATTGTTGTACACTTTTTTTGTTAATTGTTCAAGTCCCCACGCATGCGCAATATGATAAATAATTGTCCGGGACTGATAAGATTGTTATTAACAATCCCGATTTTTCAGGGACTCTATCCACAGCCTTAATTATTTATGTTACTCTCTAAATGACAACTAAATTTTTTTTGTTATAGATTTATTAAACTCTTAGAAAAAAAAGGACGACTCTTACGTAATTACACTCAGAATATAGATACATTAGAACAAGTTGTTGGTATCAATAATGTTATTGAATGTCATGGTATGCTAATTTATTAATATAAATATTTTGTTAAAAAGTATATTTATTATTTTTGAATATAAGGATCTTTTGCTACTGCATCATGTACTCAGTGCGGACACAAAGTATCAGCAGAAACTATAAGACCTGATGTATTTGAACAAAGAATTCCACGTTGTCCAATATGTGTCAATAGTACAGGTAATATATTATGTATATATTATTATAAATTTATAGAACTTGAAAAACTAGTAACTATAATTGCTTATTAATTGTTTATTATGTTCTTAGGTATTATGAAACCAGACATTGTATTTTTTGGAGAAGGTCTTCCAGACAGTTTCCATAAAGCAATTGAAGATGACAAAAATAATTGTGATTTATTGATCGTAATCGGATCATCTTTGAAAGTACGACCAGTGGCTCGTATACCTAGTAAGTTAATTAATAATGACATACCATTTAGAAGTTTTAAATTAAATAAAAAGTATACATTTTTTAAGATATGTTGGACAAACATGTTCCGCAAATATTAATAAATCGTGAAAGACTTCCGCATATGAATTTTGATGTTGAACTTCTTGGTGACAGTGATGTTATCGTGGATCACCTCTGTCGCATGTAAGTATTCTACAAATGATTATAATAATTATAATTATAATAATGATTATTATAATAATTATAATATTAAAATAATGATTATATTAACCGTTTATACATTTTCTCATCTAATTCTACAAATATTTATAAAATAGGCTAGGTTCAGATTGGACTGAGCTATGCTGGTGTAAAGAGGAGTTGACCGAAACTAAAAATTTAAATACACCTACGTCATCGCCAAGGTATTATTTTTATATTTGCATGCATCATAATAATTTTTATTAACATACATTTTGTATGAACAGGTCTAAYGCAGCCATAAGTGAAACTGTGGAAGGTGAAATGTCTACTGAATCTACAAGAGACAGTGCTAACAGTATGTCACCACCACTTAGTGATGATAGATTTACACCAGGTACTTCAGGCGAACAACGAAATTTATCCACAGACTCTACAAGAGATAGTGGTATTGACCCGGATGATCCACAAAAATCTAGTTTAGCTGCGTATTTACCACGTAATATACAATTAATGTTTTTTTTMTTATACATTCACTTAATAAAATTACTATTTATTTATTTTAGCTAATAAATATTACATGTTGAAAAAAAGAAGGTATATGTTTTCTGGCGCAGAAGTAGATTTAAATGACATGAATGATGACAGTGAAACCGAATCGGACTCAAGTGAAAAATCTGAAACTCCGTTGCAATAAAATTAATTACATTACAATTTATATATTTAGCTCAATTGTTATTTTACTATCACAAGCTACTAATATTGTTTTTGCTTTCATTCAATGATCTATAATATTGTCTCCAATTGATCTTGTATTCCTTGTCATTTCTCTGTTTGTTATTACTTTATTCATCCTTAAATTTATTATTTTTCCATTTTGTATGTATGTAGCCAAATAACATTTAAATATATGTAAATATGTAAWGTATATACACAAYACAAATGTTTCAAAATTAGAGTGAAAATAACCGTCAATTATACAATACAAATGTTATTTTCTGTAATTATTTAAGTACTAGGAATATTTTTTTATTACTACATTTTTTTATAGTAAATTATTTAAATGTACTCTAAACTAGTATGTGGGAAAAAATTCAAATCTTTCATATATATATTAATAAGTTAAATCATAAATCACTATTGTGCTGTTACAATTAAGTATAATTGTATAATTTATATTGATAACATATTTAATTTGTAATATTTATATGTTTATTCATTATTTAAAACTAAAATTTTAATTAGTTTAATTTTTAAACATCAAAATAATGGGCTTTTATTATTATTCATACTTGATATTCTTGTATGTAATTAAATATTACAGAAAATTATCTTAGGTTTATTGTTTTTAATATTCATAAACCTAATTAAAACGTTAATATAATATATTTATACATTTAAAATGAATTAGATGTAAAAATGCAATATATATTTTCACTTTTCAYTTTTTTTTTATTTAAGTATTGAGGTGTATGTAAGATATTTATGATTTTTAGTCTGTATTTTATAAAAATGTCAAATTTTTAATTATCATTTCATTAATAATTTTATTGTGCTAAATATTGTAACACAATACATACCATTCAATAAAAAAAAAAAAAAAACATAGGAAAACAAATAATGTGTTCAAAATGTTATAATTTACCGTGTTCCTTTGCAAATATATTAGCAATACATTATTATTATTTATATTTAGTTACTATGTTGTTAGTTTATTTAATATTGTAATTAATTTATATTTTTTATTTTGAGAGAATTAAGTATTAAGTTATATACTGTATAATATCTAAATGTTAAGGTTGATTTTTTTAATAAACAATATCAAAACTGTATTAACTTGCAATCATTAAGTACTTACTCAAAATTAGAAATTTAAGTTGGATATTCTTTAATATTATTTTAATTTGCTAATATTTATATTATATTAATGTAAGTTATAGCGTTATACCAAATCTTCTATATTTTTTTTTATAAAGCTTTCTTTAGTTATAATAATCATGTAAACAAATAAATACTCTTTTATTAGTTATTTTTATTACCACTAATATAGTGTAGAAAGAACTTTTAATATATTCACTAATTTTTGTTACATAACTAGTGAATTGAAAATAAAATCATTTACTCGTTTGATTATGATTACCTACCTAACTATTACGAGCATTGAAGGTATTTGGTATTAATTGATAAAAATAATAAAACAATGCTTGCATTAAAATCAAATTTTTGATAAAAGTTTGTTACAAAGTATTCCCATGTAAGCTTTATTATTGATAGAATGATCATGAGTAAATATATAATATAGTTGTACATTATTAAAAATATTGGTTGATTTAACCTTAAAATAAACATAAACAAATTATGATTGGCAGTATTAAAATTTGTTGTCTGCTAATCCACTTATCTATTTAATCTTTAAATGGTTAAAAACTAAATAACTTTAACATAAATTTAGTCAATCAATGCATTGATAAAAATGAAAATTAACAGTATAAAATTACACACGAATAATAATTTGATGAATACTTAATAATAATTCCTATGTTATACAATCGGAAGTAGGTACATAGAAACATCATTTCATACTATGAAACCACTTTCTCCAAATAATTAGGGATCGACTTAAGCTTTATGCAACTTACTATTGGAATTTTATTGATGATAGATATTTTTTGATTGATCTTTATCGTGGGGATAACTATACCTGATGGTCATACAAAATTTAAAGAGGAACG